CCCCCCCCTAACAAGAACGCCCTTGACTGGATTTTTTTTCTGATACGTCGTCGCTGTCATGCCTACTTTTCAGTCGTGGTGACCCAAACCTGTTGATCCGGCTGTGGCCCCTACGGTATTGCTTCTGTTTCGTCAGGTTAAGCTGGAGATTTGGGATACGGCGGGACAAGAGTCATTCCTCAGCATCACGAGGTGCGGAGGACATGTAAAACAGTGTGGATTGAGCTGTCTTTTAGATGGATGGGGATGGGAGGGGGTCGAGGATTAGACGACGTTGTGGATGGCAGTGTAAACAATGCGTTACAGCTGTCGACAGGCTTGCTATTCCACCCTCATCTGGTCCTGTGTTGACCACTTCTGACAGAGTGGCAGGCAGACCTGCTGTGGACCACTCATACCACATACGTTTGGAACATGGTGTTCGAACGTTGTTATTATCACTGCTAGAGGGTGCCAGGGATACACTCAGCGAAAGCTGGTGATGCTGCTGCTGGTATTCAAGGTACTTACCCCCTAATGTCCCACCATCCACCACCGTACGGTAGATCATACTACCGTGGGACCGACGGCTGCCTGTTGGTCTTCGACATCACGGACCGAAAATCCTTCGAGGCGCTGCCGCGGTGGCTGGATGAGGCGAGGATGAACTCGGCGAATCCGGATCTTTCCGTCATGCTCATCGCCAATAAAGCAGATCTCGCTGAAAAGTGAGTCAGAATTGTCGTGAGTTGGTCAGGGAGTGAACTAGGATATGTTATTGCTGTGCTTATGGCAGAGCAAGGATGAAAGCACAGTGATCAGCTGACAGTCTGTCGTGCATTTGGCATGCGATGCCGTGACGTTTTCATTTTGAGGTTACCGTCCGCTGTTGGATTTTCGGGCAATCGTAGTGCGTTTTGGAGAGCTTCAGCCACGCAGCGCAGCATACATTGTTGAAGGGTGATGTGGTTTTTTGCTGTTGACTGACGGGCGGTGTTTGCCGATGAAAAACGTCTTCACTTTGTTGTTGCGAAAATCCGGCGCAGACAAGTGCTTTCTTGCCCAGAAAATCTAATATCGGTACCAGAACATGCCCACCATCGCACGCGATGCGCGTTGTGTTTGGCAGCAGGAAGAAGAACCTCCAAATGCAGAATGCCACGTCTACCACCCAGATGTTTCGTTCGCAGGCCATGTGGATCGCACGGTGTATGAGCGACAGACCACAGTGTAGCCTGACCTCGGCTGCTAGCAAGCGAATTGACTTTTTTTTTTGGACAGACCCCTCCAGTTGACTGCGCGCGCATGATGCCCTGAGCGCCTCTTGTGTCGCACTTGTTTGCGATCGTTTTGCTGCGTTGTCAGGCGGTGTGTCACGACGGAGGAGGGGCAGGCGTTCGCGGACAAACACGGCTTGCTGTTCATGGAGATGTCGGCCAGAAACGCAGCGCAGGTGGAACGAGCTTTCATCGGGACCGCGGAAAGGGTAAGGCGAAGGAAAGATTATGTTGCCTTGGGCGGTGGTTGCTTTAGGCGAAGGGATATCTGTCAGAAAGATCAAGGAAGATCCTGGCTTGCGTTGACGGGTTTCTCGCAATCAATCACCCATGGCTTTGTCTTCGACCATCCCTTCCCGCGAGTGGTATGGATGTCGCACGTGGCGCGACCCCGGTCGTGGTCAATCCCTGCTGTACCTCGACGGTACGAGCGCCGCGTTGCGATTAGCGATAAGAAGTCATGATCTGCCACCAGTATCCCCGGCATCTGTCTCGTCTATATGCCAATATACCTACGCGTGTATCGCGCCCGTTCATTCGATACGCCCGAGCATCCGGTAAATCCTCTAGTTGTGCCATTCCCCCCCATATGTTTGCTGTTTTCCCCACTTTTCGCCTCTCCCTCCGCACATGGCTTCTTCTCCTTTTCCCCGCGATGTAGATATTCTCGGATTTAGAGGCGCATCCACGCAACAAGCCATCGGGGATCCAGCTGAAGCCGGAAGAGATGTCGGCCACGTCCAGATTCAAGGCAGAATGCTGTGAAGGGGTCTGAGCACTGCTGAGCGGTTTCTCGAAACACCATCATCTGCCCGTCGGGTAATGTGGGCTCGGATTGATCGCCGTGTTGCCGTTTCGATTTTCATTTCTCCGTGGCAGGCAGTCATTCGCGGGGGAAGGACGCCAGTTGTAAGTTCAATAGTTAATGCTCGGCAATTCCTGCAAAGGTGTTTAAGGTCCGTCGCTGGACCTAACCCCTTCACTACTGCCGTAGTAGTTTTTTTTTCCAGATCTTCCTCACTGCCTGCCTCCAGTGCACACGGTGGTGTTGTCTGTCAGAGCTAGTCTTGAACAAAGCCGCAACGCGACTGTGATTCATGGTCTGGTTGCCCTGCCCAAGGTGTTCTGTTCTGGCGTTGCTCGCGCTTTGCCCGTGTTCCGTGTTGGCTGGTGGGCACAAACCCGCTCCTTTTGTGCGGGGGGAAACGTGCCCCGTCTTGGTTGGGATGGAGAAGTCGAGCATCTGGGTGCAACCCGCAAGAGACACGTTACCGATGTCCTGCGGCGAAATCCGCCAGTTATCTCGCGATGAAAGATATCGGAGACTCATCTCACCTGTAATTGCGTGGAGAATGATGCATGCTGCTCGTCTCGCCTTCTTGAATGCATTTGACTGGTGTATGTAGTATTTGGGGATTAGTTTGGACCGCCCCAGCCATGAAAGCTCTCGTTTTCGGACTGGAGGTAGGCCTGTCGGTTCAACCGCATCAGTGGTGTGACGGGTTGCCCCTCCGTTCCTCGTGGTGCCATTGTTTTCATTTCGAAATATGCGTATTTTGCCCGATTCCCGTTATGTTGGAGCAGCACTACAGTAGTCGCGATGCCTTCGATAAGATTTTCGTTCCTTCTGCGTCTTGGCGCAGGTTTGGTGCCCAGCATCGTGGGCTAGTTGCGGAGGTCGTGCTTCTGTGTACAATAGAACTACTTGAACAATTATCTTGGTAACATGTAATACGCAGCACTGCCGCTGTTATTTGACAAAAGTAGCGTCCTTTTTGTTCCTTTTGTTGGGTTACATCTGTTGCTTGCCTGTAGTAGACAAGTTGTATGTCATTTTCTCTTAACTCTGCATGTTGTCGTTGACGATCCTATTTCAGTAGTGGTTGGTTAAGTTGAAATTGTTGTAGTGTACTTTCTGTTTTTGAGTCCACCACTGCCGCACAGCGGCAGCGGAAGGCTGGGCGTTACATGTTTTCTTATCTCCATCCTTGGTTTAGTGGAGGAATTTCTCTGGATTCTGGGCACGCTGCAAGTGAGAGGTGTGCGAGTCGATTTTTTTTTTTCTCGGCCCATATTGTTACGAAGCTTGACTATGTCCTGATCGTGAATGCCGATTTGAAGCAACAGGGCGCGCCTTTTATTTTGTCAAAAAGGATTTTTGCGGTTACAACAGTGCGAGTGAAACCGAGTGTGGCGGATCGACGCCAGTGTCGACGCCGATTCTCGATAGAGAACTGCTTTCCAGGCGAAGTCTGTCCATGTTTGAATGTGAATCAGTGTATTTTGAGTTTTACTTCAGGCGCCTCGGGCGTGGTGCTGGTGTGTCTGAAGGATGCTTCGTCACAGTGTGGAAGTGGGTTATACAGCAGTAAGTGAAAACAATGGCTAAGGCCCCCGCGGTCCCCGAATGGAATTTACCTTTCCGACTCCCATGGACCCAACCGTGTGTCGACTTTGTTGAACACTGTAATCCTTGCGGGAGGGCGCCCATAGTGCCGGGTGGAGTCCGTTCCCTTCGGACTAATTATCTGATACCCCGGATGACGTCTACATTTGCGAATGTATGTGTGCAAAAAGAATGCGAACTTTGTTCTTAATTACTTTACAGCGTTGCGAATACAGGCTAGGTGCAGAGAGGGGTTATCGTTTGTTGCGATTCCTGCTGGCGAATGCATGTGCATACCAGTAGTACCTTGGGACACATGCTTCCTTTCGGATCATCATGTGTGTGTTCCACGGGCAAGACTTGACGATGTGAGAAGAGAACGAGGGCCTTTGTAACAGAGGGGGTTTCATCTTCGTTGCGGACTCTCGACTCCACCGCACATTTGAGCTGCATCGATCCGTTACGTTCAAAAGTGGAATGAGACGTTGAAGGGGTGGACGTTTCCTGTCGTTTACGTTTATTGGGTGGACAGAGGCAGACATCTCGTATTTTTTAACTGTGTGAGGACAATACAATCAATTTCTTAAGCCTCGATTTCTAAGAAGAATTTCATGCGAGCTACGGCACTGATGATGTCGCTTACAAGAGCTGTTAAATATCGGAACATGGCTCTGGCTATATAATAACCGCCGCGGGCGCAGCGGATCTCCACTCGCGGGCATTAAAGACCATAACACGCAACCAAAATATCAACAACCAGCAAAAGCACCCAGTGAAGGGGCTGTCGGGCGGGCGGGGCCTTCAAACCGTGCCGACCAAGGTGAGGGCGAGGTTCGTAGTAAATTGTTGTCCTCCATTCGAGGGGATTCCTGAAGCTCAAAACCGAAACTTGCCCCGCGCGTCGACACAGTTGTGTTGTGCGGGTCGTGTTTGTTTGCGATATTGCCTCGAATCGCTTTCTCCCCAAAGGAAACGACTCGGAACAACGTTGCGATGATAGCGTACTTTTTCTGTAGAATGAAAAAAAAAAACTGTAGGTCTACCGTTCGTTCACGAGATCCCAGAGGTAAGGATTTTGCTGTCTCTACCACTCTCGGCTGAAGGTGCTCGGTTGCTATCTATATGACACGACAGCCACGTGATCCACACGTCAATAAAAACTGCCGATCTTCAGCAGTAGTACTACTACTGCTGTAGTCTGCGCTACAGGAGCAGTAAGATAGGATGATAGCTGTCGCTACAACGAGCGACAGCTGATAGATGTAACTGTCGTCAGACGTGTGCGTCCACGGGCGGAACAGGGTTCATTCAAACACTACAGGCGTATCAACTACCTGCTATGCTGGTGCGAGAGCTGTGGTAAGAGAACGCCTGTAGACTTCAAACTTCACCTAACGGTTACGGTTACCCCCCCCCGTCAACATCCTGCGTTCCTGGTCATACATACATACCCCCCGCATACGCTGAACCCCCTGGTCCCTTTTTTTTTGTTCGGTGTTTCTCCAATTGCCAGCGAAACAGCAGGACACAAGTTAGTTCTCATCACCTAGCGCACCAAACATCATGGCACCATTTGGAGCGTGTGCTCCATTGCGATATTTCGGGGCGTGACAATTGTGTTAGGCACGAGTGATGTGTGTGGGCAGATCTTCATGGCGGCGTGGAATTCAAAACGTTTGTTTTGGCCCGGGCAATCGGGCCGCATCGCCAGGCGAAAAGGCCACACCGGATTGCACATCGCCACGGTGCTCTTGCCACATACAGCACCCATGCCCAACACAACCATCACGCCCAGAGACACCGCAATGGAGCACACGCTCGAAGTGGTGCGATGGCGATCGGCGTCCTAGGTTTCGAGAACTAATGTGGTGCTGTGCTGACTTTGCTGGCAGTTGTACGCGGCGGTAAAAAAGAAACATGCGCGACAGAGCAATACACAGCCTCATCATCCCAACACAGAGAGTCCAACGGCATCGAGCCCAGATGCTGTCGCCCGCTGTGCGCGTGTGTCGCCTGTTATGCGTACGCTGTCTGCTGTGCGTGTGTTGTCTGCTGTGTGATGTCGCCCGCAGTGCGTGTGTTCTCTGCTGCAATCCGCTGTGTGCTTCGAAAAAAAAAAGTGCATCTATCTGCTGACCCCTGTAGTAGTCTAAAATCAAATCGCAACTCTAAAACTTAGATTAAAGGCCAGTTATTATGGAGCAGGAATCCGGGGAATTTTTGGCGGGACCCCATGAAAACTTTTTCCGCGAACCCCCGGAAATTCTAGGAGACGGCAAAAAAGGCTAAAAGGCCTATTGTTATGGGGAATTCCAATTTGGAAATTTGCGAGTTGGAANGATGTCGCCCGCAGTGCGTGTGTTCTCTGCTGCAATCCGCTGTGTGCTTCGAAAAAAAAAAGTGCATCTATCTGCTGACCCCTGTAGTAGTCTAAAATCAAATCGCAACTCTAAAACTTAGATTAAAGGCCAGTTATTATGGAGCAGGAATCCGGGGAATTTTTGGCGGGACCCCATGAAAACTTTTTCCGCGAACCCCCGGAAATTCTAGGAGACGGCAAAAAAGGCTAAAAGGCCTATTGTTATGGGGAATTCCAATTTGGAAATTTGCGAGTTGGAAAAAGCGGATTCCAGCGGGGAATTCCAATTCGGAATTCCGGCAGCATCCTAAGTTATGGGACAATTAGAAAATCTGCTACGCGGTGGGTAGTTGCGTGGGGGGGTGGTGTCGAGTTTCGAGGCACGGAGCTGGCAAGTTTGAAAAAGGGCGCGCTACCATCGTCGTATCTTGTGGTCCATCATCGTGCCGAGGGCGTACCGAAAGCATGGCAGCACCACCTGCGGCGAATGCGCCCCTTGATCTGAGCACCTGCGAGCCTCTCGACTGGGCGACAGATAATTCCAAGGATCTCGAGTGGGCGTGGGATCGGTTTCTCTCGCGCCCTTCCCACAGCGGTGA